GGGGGGGGAGGTCACCTATCAAGTTCCAACTTGGATCCAATTGATAAAAATAACAAGCTAAGCTGCCATTTAACGGGGAACAGCATGCCCTGCATAGAAGCCTGCTGCAGCATGATATCTGAGCTAAACAAGTATAAGGGCATCCTAGTCTGCTGGCTGTGAACATATAGTGCATTAGAAGTAGCATGGATTACATTAAATGTTACATGCTTCTCTGATGTAGTATATAGCCCAACCCAGACTAGGCTGTGGTGTTACATTATCTTGTTTGAAAACCATACTAATGTAATTGCACCAGTCACATGCTAGATGTAGTTTAATAGCTGAGCCACTTGGGACTGGATAGTCTCAGCTTTATTAGAGCTACGTTATAATGGGGGGGGGGGCAAGATAGGGTTCATGGTCTGAATCCAGCCTGTGGGTGCCCTGCTGCGGACCCTAGGCCAATCAAGACCTGGGGATGGAAGAGTGGGCAGCGTCTCCTCCTGCCAGGGGTATGCAGCACCAGAGGGAATCACCAGCTGTTCAAAATGGCTGGTGGTTCCCTTTAGGCACTGCACACCCTACCTCTGGCAGGGCAGGGGAAAAAGACAGGGCCTAAGGGTGAAGAATTGCACAGACTGGCCTGTGGGCAGAGGGAGCACACAGTCTCCTCCCACTGCTAGGGTTGTGTGGCACCTAGAGAGAACAGTCAGCTGTTTGAAATGGCTGGTGGATCTCTACAGCACCATATGCCCCTGACAGGGTGAGGGGCAAAGACTTCACATGCTTCCCCACCCCTATATTAATCAGGGCCAGCAGAGCACACAAAGTCACCTCCCCTCACCAGGGTGGACCACTCCTAGAGGGAACAGCCCCCTTCTAACCCAGGCCCTACCCCTTCTGGGCTGGCCCACAACCACTTCTGAAATGTGGGAAGTAGCCCCCCTGCAAAAGTTATTGTTCACCCCTGTTCTAACCACATGTGCTGTCCCTCTAACCAGGGATTTAATAGTAACAGACATAACTAATTTAGATACAGCTCATAGAGTGAGGAGGACCACCACTTAAGATGGTGCTGAGTCCTGCCATGAGGGCAGGGGACTGGACTCAATGACCTCTCAAGGTCCCTTCCAGTTTAAAGTTCTGTGATTAGAGATAGGGGAGAAGACCTGGTTACTACTGGGGTAGCTAGAGGTGCCAGCTCATGGGATTATGTTTCAGTGATTAAGAGTTTTTATAACAGTTGTTGGTTGACTAACTACTATTCTGCTGGTTTGATGTTGATACTCTTTAATAAAGAATGTTTTATATATGTCTAATGAACTAAGGGTTAGCCTCTTACTGGCATAGCAGTGACTGTTCCCTTCCTCAGCAAGGGAACTAGCAGCATCAACTTGAAAAAAGGAAAGTAGTGCTAGGAGATGCAGTGCCTTCCATGTAGTCTCTGGTTCTGCAATAAGCTTTGCACCCACACACAATTCTGATCTGTCCACTGGCAGAGAGCTCATTGAGCAGGTGTGTGGGGGCAATTTGCATTCCCAATGACCTGAAGCATGTTATTAGCCATAAAAAGCCTCCTAGCTGTACTTTCTCCTCTGAACAGCAAACAAGGGCTAGTGAAATGAGCAGGTTGGCATGAACTTTATTCTACCTTCTGTATAATTTTAAGTACATAAAGGTTTTTTCCACAAGCCTCAGGAGAAGAAGAGTACAAGTTACAGACAGTCTCAAAATTTAAAAAAAATTGCATATTTTGCGAGTTTCATCCTAGAGAAAAAAAAATCACTCACAATGTATAGAGGAAATGCAGTCAGATATGCTTGTGCCACCAGAGGCAGGGAAACTCAAAGATCAAGCACGTGCAGCTCCCTTGATGGGTCAGTGTAGGCCCTGGAACAGAGATGGCATGCCTCCAGCCGAGTAAAGAGCCAAGCAATAAGGGAAGGAGAAGAGGCTGAGAATAGTTTCACATTCTATAGCAACTAAACATGAGCAAGGATGAACGGACCTGATTTAGTTGAACTCTTGTTTACAAAACAAATACTGAATTTGGAATGAATAAAAAGCATCCCTTGCTAGCAAGGAGACAGGTTCACAAGAACTGTCATGGAAGACTGAACTTGAGAGTTCAGCGGCTTAGAAGGAACCCTTTGGGTAAAGATCCCTTGTGGAGAAGGGCTCATAGGGAAGTGGACACTTCAGCTGCTACCTGGACAGACTGCAGAATGGATCATTTACTCCAATGCAATCTTCTGTGGCACCTGTTTACTGCAAATCTTCCCACCATGGCACAAAGAGAATTACATAGAGCAAATAGGAATGTTGAATGGGAAAGTCAAGGTGGAATTGCTACATGGCCAATCCACAGCCTTTGGTCCAGCAAAGCCATTCTCTGCATCTTGTAATGCCACTGATTAGTACACATAGCTGGAGTTAGTAGCAGCTCCCAGTTCCTTCCTGAAACACACCTGCCAGCTCAACTTACCACATTGGGAGGACACCCTTATTTGGATTCAAAGAGGGGCAGCGTTCCTTTCTCACATGAGCAATTTGTCTGAAGAGAACACAAAACAAACCAATGTAACGATCTGAACGCCAGCCACCAAACCTGGCTCTGAAGTTCACCAGAAGTCAGACGTGATTGATGGTGCAGTTAGATTTGACAAGAGGGGGATGATGCACCTTCCTGCAGAAGATCAACTGACCCGCCACCCTACACCAAATCCCAGCCCGAGGTATTTCAGTGAAGGCAGGTAGCTGTGTCTCAGGTAGAAGACAGAAGCAGTTTGAGAGCAGAAAGGTACAGGAAATCTAAGAGAATCATCTGAAAGCAGATTTGTCCCACAGCTAGGGCAAGGAGAGGCACAAGCTGCAATGCCATTCTGCTTAGCCAGCAATTTCCGTCACGCTGGTAACCAGCTTCTGCCCATTCCACAGGGACTTGAACTGTTCAGGGACAGGAAACTCGCTCTGGAGGGTGAAAGAAATGTATAATGAAAAGTCTGATTTATATGAAAGACCAGAGACTATTCCCGTTCTGCCTAGCCTGACAAACCTAGTGGCGGACAAAAGATAATTTGTCTTCCGCTAAGAAGTTACTCCGCTCCCCTGTTCCGTATTCCTCTATAGTGCAGGGCTACTCAACACATCGCCCATGGGCCATATGCAGTCTGTTTCTTTGTGGCCACCCAGTGAAGTCTGGCTTTATGCGGAGCTCAACGTGCAGCCTATGGGTGTGATCCTTTGAACATGGCCTCTACTAGGAATATGCTCCACAACGGTGAAGTGTCTCCCAGGCGGGTGAGTACTGAAAGATGCAAGCAGATGGGCTGGCTGCAACAGATGGGTACAGGGTGTCAGCATTTCTAGCCCCCAGGGAGATGGTGCCAGGAGCGCTGGAACATTGTGGGAAATGCTTTGTATTCATGTCTGTCAATGTGAAATAAGCTATTTGCATATACATGTGCATGTATATGTGAAATAAGCTATTTGTATATACGTGTGCATGTATATGCAACCACACTTAAGTTGCAGCTCTCGGCACATGCTGTGAGTATCATTGTGGTCCCTGGGGCTTCCAAAGTTGAGTAGCCCTGCTATAGTGTTTTGAGCACTGCAGACATGTACTCTGGGATAAGCAAAAAGGACAAAATTTGATTTAAAACCCAAATACAGAGAACTGGTTTGACAAGTAGATGTGACTTGCTAAATGTAACAACTTTTTCTAGAAGAGTAAACTGAACAAGTCTAAAATTAACAGATCACACATTTCATTCCTCTGTGGACTAGGAGGGCTGAGGGTTACTTCCAACAACAGTGTTTTCATAACAAGTGCCAGCTGGTTAGTGAATATGCCTTCAGAGAAGACAGACCAAGGGAGGGCACCCATGTCTTACATTTGATGGGCTTCAAGAATCCATCCTGCAAATTTAATCTACCCTGCTGGCCACTGTCAGCAGACAGGCTACTGGGCTAGGTGGACCTTTGGTCTGACCCAGTATGGCCGTTCTAATGTTCTAAAAGGGTAAAATACGGAACAAGGTCCAGATATTAGAAAGGCTCTCTGGAGTGAACTGGCAGGTCCTTCACTGAACATCCTTCCCTGGAAGGGGCTAGCGTTTGTCTCAGTAAAACAATGGAACAAGATGTGACACCATAGTTCTTAAATCTCCAATTCCTGCCATTGAACCCTCCCCCCCAACCTCGTTCCAGCTCTTGCTGCCCTCTCCAATCCTTTCATGAAGAGGAAACACTTACAAAGTCACCACTCTCTGTGGGGATGAGGACGTTCATTTCTGAAGACTTGGCACTAACAATCTCACAGTCTAGAGAGCTCTTGCTCAGATACACATGGCAGCCATCTGTCTTATTGATGGAAATTGTTGGCACTTTACCCATTACCTAGTGAGGAAAACAAGGACGTGGTTACAGTAGCATCAGCTTTTCCTAGGGAACCACTAATTTGTTTATTGTTTTGCATTTTCCTCAGGGGATTAAGTCTTTTACACTGGACTCTACCATATCTCTGGAAGGAAGCAATTAACACCTCTGTGCCACAGAAGGTTGAGCAACTTGCCCATAACCACAAATCAAATGTTGGGGCAGAAATTCTCTCAGA